CATGTTAATCTTGAATAATCTGAAATTTCAGAGAGCTTAAAAATATCATATCATATCTGTGATGGTTCTGAGGTGGAAGACTGTTACATGTAAATGTCTCATGCACGGTTTTTCACTTGTTATGATTCAGCTGCCAGTAGTTTCTGTATCTGTTGGTGTGCAACGATCTACACCAATATTTCAATGTAATAATGTACAGTGTATATTAATTAATCAAATTATGCTGTTTTTAGTTGACCAATGCTGCTACATGGTAATGTGATGTTGAAGCCCACAAATTTACAAACATGCCCAGTGTCAACTTGTCAAATATATGAACTGGCCAGACGGTCTAGATTACAAAATTTTCTGAAAGTTGGAATTACCAGGTAAGATCTTAAACATTATTTTGTAATTAATGATTTCTCAGACATCGTTTTCTTCAAGAAAAGATTCATACCCCACATAGAAGTTTTTCTCTATTAGAGCTTTCTCTTCCTGATACTTTAATTTGGAATTTCTAAAGACTGGCCATGAATGGCTGTTTGGGTGTGAATATCTTCTGGAACTGCACATTCAGATTTAGTAAGCAAGAACATCAGTATTTTATCCTGACAAACTCTGATTTTCTTTTGGAAGCTGAACTCATATGCAGTTGTACAGTCAAAACCCCTGACAAAGTTATATAAGCCTAGGGCTTATTACCGAAATTTTACGGTATGTCAAAAACAAAGCATGTTAATTCCGGAGGACAATTTCAGACTGTAGATAGCTGAAAGAAGCACAGAAGGCTCCAAGGAATTTGACTTCCTTCTCCATGGGAAATCCGATCATAGCCATGGCCCTAATGGTGACCTGTTTGGTTCCATCAACCTCAAATTGTTTCTACGTCTAAAAGGTCCGTCATAATACGTTATATACCATCCATTAACAAATCTTTACTTTCTAAAAAAATAACACCAACAATTTGAGAACCACAACGAGTTCCCACAAGTAACTCTGACGTAACGATAATACAATTGTTATTGTCTAAATAACTATGCAGTTAACTCTGTAATCAGTTTCCTTAGTATTGTACTCTAAAATATCAACGTATTTCGACAATGACGATTTACAGCCGAACATAGGCAAAGGCACCAGGAAAATGGAGGTCTCGAAAACACAACATGCTTCTAAGTTAAGCCTCCTAATCTGTTCAGTCCACTTAAACTTCACTATACTTTACTATACCTAGCAGTTGTTCCCGATTATTAAATAACCGTTAACCGTTACCCGAAAATTCGAATAATTACTCTTCCTTGATTAGAGTAATTTCGTGTTTTTTTTTTTAATTTCACTTTTTCCATAACCGGTGTAAAAAATGTTTCGATCTATGAATTCTCTAGGCCTGACTCTACAACTCAGACTGTAAGAAAATATCGTTAACTTATTTCCTCTCGTCCCTATATTATCATTCACATTTTGTCATGCGGGTTTTGACATCCACATTTTGTCATCCTCATTTTACCATCTGTATTTTATCATCCGCATTTTTCCATCCGCCATCCGCCGCAATTAGCCGCCATCCGGTCCTCACTTTACAGAGACCCTCAGCGAAACGTGACTGCCGACATCTACTGTTACATAACGACCGAGTTTGGTCACGTGAAACGAGACTTTCGTCTTACAACATATGGTGGTGTTGTGTTACAACGGTTTGAAACAATGCATCCAATCAGCGTGGACAAACAGCGTGACTGATGCACCTTGGCACACGAAATCCCGGCCGCGGATGCTGGTCGCTTCGAAAGCCGGCGTCGACAGAACCAGGACCGGACCGGACCGGACCGGACAACGGATCGGATCACGGATCGGATCACGAACCGGATCACGGACCGGATCATGGTTCGGATCACGGATCGGATCACAGAAAAAAAAACAAAGTTTTAAAGGAAGACAAATCCAAAAAAAAAATCAAATCGTTTATAAAGTAATAATAAATAAACAATAAAAGTTGAAAACTAAAATATGTTAAATGAAAATAAGAATCCCGAATTTGACGTAAGCAATGACATGTTAATTACAGAGAATGACAAGAGGTCACTTAAAGAGCCACATAAGCGCCTAATTTACGACGAATTTAAATTGTAATGAACAGGCAGATGTAGTTATATTTGAACGTTAGTTGACTCGAAGCTTGCTTGAACTCCCATTCTCGTTTTTGAAATTGTTGTTATAGTATCAGTAGCTAATTTTCGGCTACATTTTCGTGTCATATGTGAGCGTTACCGTTGGCGTTACAGTTACTCCGCCTTAGTAGTAACATGCGGACTCTAAAATTCAAAGCTCAAACGGACAAATGCGTTTTTCGCTACCGTCAATCAAATTTTCGGCGGCTCCTCCCAGCTTCCGACTACTACCGAGTACTGTTTCGTTGTCTGAACTATGCTCAACGATTTGATTACCGCGCGCTCGGCAGTAGTCGGAAGCTGGGAGGAGCCGCCGATCACTTGATTGACGGCAGCGAAAAACGCTTTTGTCGGTTGAG